AAAAAAAAAAAAAAAAAAAACAGGATTTCGCCCTGAAGAAACAGAACATAGTGGGTAAAAGGGGAAAGAAGGCACCTACCACACCCGCCCACCCACAAGCTAGCATGTTTGCTATCAAGGCCAGCCGGGAACTTACTCGACGACAATGCAAACTAAGAATCAATCGCAAAACAAAATGAATAGAATAAACGAACAATGATGCACGATGCCAACCGTTCATCGAAGCGAAGTCCAACGTACGGGCGAGTAGTAGGTAACATGCACTCACACACACATACACACACACACACACACACACACACACACACACATACACACGTGTAGTAGGTATATTTTCATGTCCTAGCGAATCGATTTTGCTGATCCTATCAATGCAAGTAGCGTGTGGCCAGCCGAGGGGTTGGAGACTTACCCGTTCACGGGTAATGAATAAAATAAACGAACGATGATCCAAGATGCCAGCCGTTCATCTAAGCGAAGTCCAACATAGGAGCGTGTAGTAGGTTACATACACTCACACCAAAATGAATAGAATGAACGAACAATGATCCAAGATGCCAGTCGTTCATCGAAGCGAAGTCCAACGTACGAGCGTGTAGTAGGTAACACTCACACACACACACACACACACACACACACACACACACACACACACACTCACGTGTAGTAAAGTAGCGTGTGGCCAGCTACTCGACGACAACGCAAACTAAGAATCAATCGCAAAACAAAATGAATAGAATAAACATACAACGATCCAAGATGCCAGCCATTCATCAAAGCGAAGTCCAACGTACTGCAATCACACTCCGATTATTCACACTTGTCTTGCATGCAAACAGCGATACAACAACTGGCGACATGCGCCCTGACAGTACTTAAGATATCGTAACCAGATATGAGTTCTCTTCAACTGGCTATGGCGACTGGGCGCCCACACAACTCATTTTTCGCACTCTGGATCACCCTGGATGTCCCACACGCAACACTCAGTATCATACGCAACACACACACACGCTATGCTACAGCTATGGCAGCGCTAGCTATCGCTACACTACACTTCTCTGCCCACTTCGTCTTCGGGCACACTGCAGACCTGCTCGCACAAGCTGCTAAGGCAGCGCTTCCGCATGGCATCCGCAGGAATGAATGAATGGCTGGACGCAGCCTCTTGATTTATACTTCTGCGCTGCGTTGGTCTGCCCTGTATCCCTRRCCCATGGTGCACACAGYCCCCCCCGTGGTACTTGCTGGACCGGACTGGTACTTTCTAGACTCTCCCATGACTGCATGGCGAYTACCCTACGACGCASTGCAGTTGCACTGGGGTCCTACTATTTGCCCTTGCCACTTGTCCTCGTCTCCAAYATGGGCTTGCTTTAGTCACACCACTTGCCCACTTGCCTGCACCACTTGACCACTTGCCAACCTTCTAGAAGGACTGCAGCTAGCCTTCTAATCTACAGGTCTACGGATCGAATCCTGGCTACCTATAGACCTACGACAGACCTACCTACCACTGGCGGTTCTACAGGTCGCAGGTTCAACTCTTCGAGTTGACGCAAGTATTGTACACAGGTAAGTTGGGGAAGTAGGGATCGAGCCCTGGGATCTGCCTCAGCTACCACGAATTGGTGAATACCGTTTCACTCCCGCCGGCCTAAATTCGAGGTCCTCCGAGAAAATTTCAGTCCAAGGCAGGACCTTTACCCTTCTGCTGTCTTTCGTAGGCCCGGACTATGTCGGGAGCTGTCTCTAGAAGTTCAGATCTCGTAAACCAGCGGTCATCTTCCGGTTCTTGATAACTAAAGTGAACCTTGTACTGTTTCTGTGGACGTCCCCTACCTCCAGTCCTGAATACATCTTCAGCCACTATTCCATCATGTCGTATCTTCCATCCATATCCGGTGGGATCATGGACCTACGGGATGGAAACTGATCACTCGTTTGACACGGTAACAACTTTGATGCGTGGAAAACTGGGTAAGTGTGGAGGTGTGCTGGTAACTCTATGGTGTAGGACGGTCCATCTTCGCCACCCTTGACTTCCAGAACATGTCACGGTCCTCTATATGTGGGCAGCAACTTCTGCGAGATGTTCTCCTCGGGTGCAAACTCTTTCGAACTAACCCAGACTAAGTCGCCTACTTGAAACTGTGAAGGGCGACGATGTTTGTTTGCTTGTTCTATCATCCTATGCTGGGCTTTTTTGAGGTTTTCTACAACAGTAGCTAGTTCTTTCTCGTGCTGTACAGCGAACTCCCGGGTCCCGGGCGGCAATCTCTGAATCTGGTCTCGGTTGAGTCCCTCAAACGGTCTGCGCGGTCTAAAGGACTTGTGCAGTTCGTTGGGAGTGCGGCAGGTGGCTAGATGCACGCTGTTATTGTACGCACTAGCTACTTTAGGCAACATCTCATCCCAGTTAATCTGATCTGGCCTAATATACATGCGCAGGACTTGCTGCAGGATCTTGTTCATTTGCTCTGTCTGACCGTTAGTCTCTAGATGGCGGCCGGACGACATCAACAACTTAGATCCGTATACTCCCATGAGTTCTTGCCAGTTCTGGCTAGTAAAGCGACTATCTCTATCGCTAACTATAGACAGCGGGATTCCATTCTCACTAACCCAACAGTCAAAGAACCTCGGTATGACTAAATCAGTACACGCCTCAAAAGGCAAAGGAACAAAAACTACGTACTTGCTAAAGCGGTCAACTATGACCATGACTTGGCTCTTGCCATGCCTGCTCTTGACTTGAGTGTCCATGAAATTTATTGACACTGAGTCTCCCGGCTTATCCGGAATGGGCAAGGGTCTGAGAAGACCTAACGGGGCACGCGTAGAAGACTGGTTACGCTGGCAGACCTTACAACTGCGAACATACTCTACGCAGTCATTCTTCATCCCTGGCCAGGTATACGCGCGCATCAGATTGGCTAAGGTCTTTTGCCAACCAAATGACCCTCCGTGTCATGGCATTCTCCCAGGATCAGACTGCGGATCTCTTCGCTATTGGGGATGCACAATCGGTCAAAAACATTAGTCTTCTCAAAAAGCAACCCTTCAATAGTGCGGTAGTTCGGCTCAGTCTCTGGGGCCTCCTTGACTTTCTTAAGGAGCTCACCATAGATAGGGTCCTGCGCGTAGGCTTCTCTAACCTTCTGCTGCAGATCCTTTCCTATATCGAGGTAATGTACTATTGCCCCAAAGTAATTTGCTCTCCTACTCAGAGCATCCGCGACTACATTGTACTTTCCTTTGACAGGCTTGAGCTCGAAGTCGTACTGATCTATCTCTGCGGCCCACCTAGTAAGCTTAGGTGTCATTTTGGCCTGCGTCTTTAACCATCGTAATGTTTCATGGTCAGAATAGACTTTGAAGTGCCTCCCAAGCAAGTAGTGCTTCCAGTGGTCTAATGCTTGCCTGAGAGCGTGGAGTTCCCTCTCATAGGTAGATGTCGCAACCTTCTCTGAAGGCATCCTAGCGGACATGAACTCTACGGGTCTATAGTCATTGCCATCGTCTTGCTGTAACACTGCGCCTATGCCGTACTGGCTAGCATCCGTAGTAACGACAAAAGGCAAGGACGGATCGGCGACCTTAAGGACCGGGTATTCTATTAACGCCTGCTTTAGCTTCTTCATGGCAGACGTGCAGTCCTTGTCCCACTTCYAGATTGTCTCTTTTCTTAGCAATCTGCGAAGGGGCGCAGCGATGGTGGAGAAGTTCCTCACGAACTTCCTGTAGTAATTTGCTGAGCCCAGGAACGAGCGCAACTCTGTCAGCGTACGTGGCGTGGGTCAATCTCTAATCGCTGCGATCTTGCTATCTTCTGGCTTAACTCCGTCTCCGTCTAAGACGTGGCCTAGATACAAAACTTGGATCTTCGCCCAATCGCACTTCTTCGCATTGATCTTGAAGTTAGCTTCTCTCAGCTTCTCCAAGACCTGCCTGAGATGACCCTGATGCTCGTCGAGGGTTTTACTAAACACTAGAATGTCATCTAGGTACACTACAACAAATCTATCTAACCATGGCCTAAACAAATCGTTCACACAACGCTGGAACGTAGTTGGCGCATTGGTTAGTCCAAAGGGCATCACTATAAACTCATAGTGCCCGTACCTAGTCCGGAAGGCTGTCTTATACTGATCATCAGGATGTACCTCTATCTGATGGTATCCGGACTTTAAGTCTATCTTAGAGAAGTACTTGGCCCCTTGCACTCGATCTAAGAGATCGTCTATCCTAGGCAGTGGCTCAGCATTCTTTACTGTAATAGCATTCAGACCCCTATAGTCTATACACATCCTCAACTCTCCCTCTTTCTTAGGGACAAAGAGAACAGGGGCTCCAAACGGAGACGAACTGGGCCTAATCCAACCCTTTTCGAGGAGCTCATCCAATTGCTTCCGTAGCTCCTCTAACTCCCGCGGGGACATCCTATATACAGCACCCTTAGGAGTTTTACTGCCAGGCTCTATCTCAATACGGTGCTGGATGGGCCGCGGCACCGTGCCTGTCGGCGGCTTAGTTAAATCCTTAAACTCTTCCAGCAATTTGGCAATAGCAGGGTCTACGGGCTTCTCTTCCTTAGGCTCAATCACTAGCCTAATATAGACGACAAAGATTTGTTCCTCCAATTTCTCCTTCTTCACCAATCTGGCGAATGCGGGCGCGCTCAGGCAACAATGTGCCAAGGAATTCTCTACGCCTGACACATGGAACAAGCGGGCAGTCTTAGCCTCGCCTGAAGAACTAGGGAGCCTACACTCGTGCTCCTTCAAATGGAGCGTGGCCCCGGTTGCCTCTCCCCAATCCATTCCCAGAACAATGTCGAATGGGAGGTTGTCTTCTACGAGGAGAGTCAGGGAGTGGAGGACCTCCACTTTCCCATCCTTCTCTAGGCGGAAATACGCCTGGACTCCCTCTACATACTCCTCTACAACCATAGTATGATTGTCTGCGAGGATACTAAGTATGGGATCTGCTAGCTTTTGGACTTTAAGCCCCAGCTTCAACTTCTGCAGCGCCTTCCTACTAATATAGTTGCGGGTAGCCCCTGAATCTACTAGGGCCCCTACTGTATCTCTAAAAATCTCTACATCTACCAGAATTAGCTGTCCTTTCTGTTCTTTTTTCATCTTGGCCCAGACGGGCATCCTCTCCTTCAATTCTTCGGCCACGCCTGTGAGGGAGGTGTCTAAAGAGACCCTCACACAAGCAGTCTCTGGACAGCTGTCTAGACACCGGCCTGCAACCTCTGCCATAGGCACATGTGGTGTGGGAGTCTCCTGCCGGCTAGCGCTATGTTCCCCACATGGCCTAATGGTAGGGGCAGTTGCTACCCCTACCGGCGGCTGCGTTTTGGCCCTTGGGCAGCCGTTCGGGTCTCTCTATACTTAGGACAATATTTGATGATATGGCCCAGGTCACCGCAAAAAATGCATTGGCCCCGGTCCAATCGTTGTTGCCATAAAGCTTGATCCATAACCAAAGATTCCCAAGGCCTACCTTGAGGTAGCCCTGGTTGCCATCCTCCTATTCTATAGGGAGACCTATTCCTTGGACGGTTTTGTGGGGAACCTTGACCCCTGCCTCCCGCTTGGCGGTTTCCTCCTCTGCCGCCAACCCCCTGATCGACCTGAAATCGACTCCCTGAGGCCCGGCCCCCTTGGCCCTGGCCTCTTCCTCCTTGCGGCCTCCCTCCAGCCGCGACAGYAGCGTAAGATCTCCCTTGGCCCACATCGCTGTCCACCTCCTCTAACCCCCACTCAATCTGGTCGTAGGGGATCTCATCCACACTACCCTCCTCTAAGGTTAGGACAAGGTTGTCCTTGGTCTTTACTTGCCCTGAGATAGTGCAGCCCTTCCATTGCTTACCCTTGTCCAAGTCCTTGTGCCAGAAAGTGGACACAGACGCAGACTTGGCTTCAAAAGCCACTACTTCGCGACTAAGGGAATCGTATGTAGTGGCAGGGTCTTCGCTCTTTGCGAAGAAATGCCCTCGGAGGGCTTCGGGTATAGCCCGATAAAAGAGGCCAACCAACTGGGTGTC